AGCCTATTCTCATTTATGCGAAACTGGTATGCACACCAAATATTCGGTGTTCGCACTTATGCAAAGATGACAGCGTAAGGGTTAAACAGCTACTGTATGCACAAAATGTGTTTTAATAAACCACTTTGTGCTTCCTTGTTGTATGGGTGACAAATAATTTAAAGAAATTGACTATTGTCACATCAGCGAAAGTAATATTAATAATAAATTAAAACTTACATCAGCAGTTGGAGCATAATGAAGTTCATAGGCTTCATTCATTGCTGTCTCATAGTGGAGATGTACCTTGGTGGTTAAAAGATTTGCATTTCAAAGGTCTTGGCAGAGGCGATGCTAGCGGTGTGCCTGGAGGGGAAAAGGACCCACACTAGACCCCCTGTATGGATTTTCATGCATGGTTTTCTATCAAATTAGAGAATTCCACAATTACCACAAAATTTTATTATTTTTTAATCAAAAAATTCCCCAACAAATTTAATTGTTTCCCCGACCCTGTCTCTTATACACATCTAGATGTGTATAGGGAGCTAGGTTTCCACGAGCTCGTCGGCGAGCTGAAACCCCTCATCGGAGAATTCCTGGTGCCGCCCCCGGGTCCTGGGTTCAAATCCTGTGATATCCCATTTTTTTCTCTGGACTTAAATCATCTCCACTACCTAACCATGATAAAAAGTATTTCTTTTTCATTTCGGAACTTCAGAATATCAGCTGACCACCTCCTTCTATAATGGTTAAAAAATAACTTTCAACAATAGCGTACCCCTGCAACATAAGTAACGCAAATCTTACAAAGTTGGTAACTGCAGTTTCCCAAGTCTCAAATCTCTCTGCAGCAAGGAAAATTTGTTCCTTGACGCCACCAGGAAATTTAGCATTGGAACCTAACAAGAGGCCCTAGGCAGACCCTTCATTCGGACCTCATATTGATCCAATATTATCAAATTTCTGGAACCATTACTAATTCATTCCCTAAAGTCAGTGTTATGGGTTGCAATTGGTTGAAAAAATGGTTAAGAAATATTACATGCAAGTTTTAATATCAATACCTTTTTTGAAAATTCAAAAAAATAATGTTACTGTAATTGTATGAAAAAACAACTTATGAAAATGAAAAAATATGTATGATTCTGATGCAGTCAATGCATTAATGAAGTTAAGCAAGATGGCAATTGAAATGTAGGCATGGTGCTGCGATGGATGTCATCATCATACCTGACCCTTGTGGTTGAATGTTGGCTTTGTTGCTGCTAGCTGAAACCAAAGATCACCTATATCAGTGTTAATTATTATAATAAACCTGGTATTTAGCAGATGCTTATTAATTCTTGTAGCTTTTATATTAGCAGCGACATTTAATTAGTTGTTTGATTTTTTTGTTGTAAAATTGGGCAGTACACCAGAAACTATTGCTCTCTATTTACAAAGGGTGTAGTTCCTAAAAGGGTACATGTGACCAATCGTTTAAATATAATTTACAAATGCTATAAATTATTTGCATTTCAGCCCTCTAGCTAAATGGAATTAAATCAAGAACCACAGCATCTGAAAGGTCTCAACATTTTAATGCATAAACTGGGGCTACTTACCATCAGCTTAGCTAACTGTTTTACATGCTGCTTTCTTACATAATTTAGGGTGAGCCCGCATTAATTTTGATGATTGTATAAATATAATCATCCAGCATATTCCATACTATAGATTAGCAGTAATTAGCACATAAAATAGATTGATTATATTATAGTGAGCATAAATATTTACTAAGGTAAGAAAAAAGTAAAAACCTCTGTTGCCAATATATGAGAATGTAGTACTACATAGTCTTTTTGGGATGCGGAGAGGTACACCTAGTATTCTAATTTAAGAATGCATTTACTTTTAAGCATAAAGTGAATTAATAGTCTCATTATACCTTCATTAAGTAGCAGCAGACTAGCGTTGCGCTACGTGTACGTCCTGCTTTACAATGCACGTATACGGATTCATCACGTTCGGCATGTTCCTCAATAAATCCAACACCGCTCTCTAAGAATTCCATACTAGGTGCTTCTGTGAAATCAACTGTCGGCAAATGCATTTGAGACACACCCAGCATTTTCCATTCCTACGTGGAAGAAAAAAATATTAATTGATAACGGTATATTCTTTAGAAATTACACAAATCAATTGTGATGTTGGTAGTTTGTGAGTGAGGCGTAGATAGTACAATCTTCTAGCACAAAATGGAAAGCTTCTTATTCGCCAAACGTTAAATAAAGAATGAGGACTATAGTTAGGGTTAGGGTTGGTACATGGTGCCTTGGATCAGACAGTTCTATTTTATTTGAAAATGTGTTCCATTTCGAGAACAAAGAAAATTACTCAGTTTATCCAGGTAATCAGAAAAATAGACTGAATACAGACTTGGAATTAGAACATGTATAAATGTTACCTGTAAGTTAAAGGACATTCAATATACTGTAATTCCACAGTAGTTCAACAGTAACTTTTTATTATAGTGTCAGGAAATTAATTGCTATTAATATATTTCCAGGTTAATTACCAGAAAACTTGCATTGTAGTGAAATTCAGATAATATTCAGCTACGCTACATAACATCTTGGCTACCCTACGTAGACCAAGAGTATTATTAGAGGATGAAGTACTGTGGTGAATTCACTATTTAGATTAAACAAGGGAGTACTAAAGGAATTTGACCTCAAATTCAGAATCTATTTTATTAATAATGAATCTGGCACTTTTAAGTAAAGAAAGTATTTTATTGCCAACTTATTGGTTGTTAATCCACCACAGAATAGTGCAATAAATTGGAGTATTTACAGTATAACTATGTAATGATAACAAATAATATTTTTAAAAATGTCTTGGCTGTTAACATGTTGAACAACCTGAATGTCTCATAGAAACATTACTTCCTTATTATGGTATTTGGTAACAGAGATGGTAAAAAGTCTGTAGAAAAGATCATACTACATATTTGGTATATTATTTCCTTATTAGGAATGTGGTAACGTAGATGCTAAAAGTCAAGAAAAATCATATTCCTTCCATATTTGGTATATTATCTCATTATTTGGAATGTGATATGAAAAATGCTAAAAGGTCAAATGAAGGATCATATTCCTAATTGATAGCACCCCACCCTGTGAAGTTGAATTTAATATGAGCAAAGTTCCCTAACCCTTTATAAAACATTCTGGTAGCATGAAAAAATAAATTATTGTAGAGTGTAAATTTTGCAAGTGCTTGGTTAGGAATATTTTGTCAATAATGACAAATACAGTAGTATATTAGGCCTAGGCCTATTATTAGCAGAGTATGTGCTTTCACAGTCAAATTACTTGCTAATGAAAATCAAAATAACAAATCTAGGCCTATAAGTACTACTAACATTACCATCACAGTCCAGACCTAGGCCAAGCTAAGTCTAGGCCCAGAACATTGTTTGCTATGTCAGTTTCTTAACTACAGAAGAATATAGTTTCTCAGCATTTCAAAACATCATATTTTCAACTTGCAAAAACTCAAACTTCTAACAATACAACCTCCGGCAAGTTTCACATAAAAATGTGCAGAAATTCATTGGTTTTCCTATCCAGTAAACACTATTTGTGTTTTAGTGTTAAAACAGCCGTGTTCTATGGTCATTTTTTGGAAGACCTTCATCAATCAATTTCAATTTCAATTTCAATTTTTCAATTTCAATTTAACATCTATTTACTTCCTTTTTGAATCAGAAAAATATATTACAATTGATTTAAAATAAATTGAAAATGCAGGAGAGGAAAAAGGCAAGAACCCGAGAAGATAAGAAAAACCAATCTTGTGGAGGGACAGCCTGAAATAAGAGGGAAAAAAAATTAGAATAACAATCGGTATTTATGCGAAGGTAGCATTGGCTGACAGTGAGCCTATTCGCATTTATGCGAAACTGGTATGCACACCAAATATTCGGTGTTCGCACTTATGCAAAGATGACAGCGTAAGGGTTAAACAGCTACTGTATGCACAAAATGTGTTTTAATAAACCACTTTGTGCTTCCTTGTTGTATGGGTGACAAATAATTTAAAGAAATTGACTATTGTCACATCAGCGAAAGTAATATTAATAATAAATTAAAACTTACATCAGCAGTTGGAGCATAATGAAGTTCATAGGCTTCATTCATTGTGATAACACCTTTCACACCTTCCGTCTTCACCAGCTGAGAAGCAAAAAAAAAATCAGATTACATTTATAAAAAATACCTTACATAATATTACCATGTTAAACTAATAATAACACCATCCAATTATAAATAATTGTATTTAAAATGCAAATTCAAATATGGTAAGTGTAGTGTTTTTTAATTATCTCTTTATTTTTATCTATTTATTTTATTCGTGATTTGTTAGAATATATTTAAATATTTTCAATTTAGGATAACCGCCTGATAGTCCTCTTCTACAGACATGCCAACCCTACAAGGCCAACAAGAGGAGTCTGAAAAACTTCTGAGCGGAGTTTTGGCAATGTGAGAGGAGTATTCCTAAGACATGGTACCAATGCGATCGGATTGTAAAATGTGACCTTTTTGACTCACAATCAGCAATACCGCCGTGCAAGACTAGGCCCCAGACCTAGGCAAAAAATCAACACCGCACCAATCACAACGAGTGTACCATAGGCATCACCTACAGTTTTGATTTCAAACTACTGTAAACAGGATACTTTCCATTATAAGCTTGCATGTTTGCATGTGTTTTAGCTTCTTTTTTGGAGGAAGCTCAACACTACTACTCATTTTTCGAGCACCGTCTAGAATTTATCACTTTGTTATTTTCACCCTACTTCGTATTGGGACAATAAAAAAACAGAGGACTGAATACATTTGATACATAAGCATACTGTTATTTCCAAAAGATCTATGTTTAGAACTTTAGCTTTGAAAACTGTTGGGGTCATTTGAATTTTTGCTTTTTTTTTACGCTCCCATAAGTCCGTAAAATGAGATTTAAATATCAAATCAGTGAAACAAAAACAAAAGGTTAATATTTATTTATGGTCTAAAGGATAACTGGAATGACATATATTTCATAATTCCTGATCATTATTATTTTAAGTAAGCCAAGTAAATACACTTGGTATTTGTATATTTTTTAGGTTACTATAAAAAATATAGGCCTATTTCCTTTAAAAAAAAAAAAGTCTAATAACAATTACCAAAAGTGTTTCTGTCATTTTAACAATTTAATTTAAATACAGACAAACAAAATTTTTTTAATCAATTTAAAAATAAATGGACTGCAATGTATCTATAGTATAATTACAGACGGAACTATAGAATAATTGTCGTGTGTACAGTAGATAATTTACCAAGCGTATGTATAAAGTATGCCTACACACACCCTTCAGGAGATCATGATTGTACCATTATAATTTTTATCCTATAAATCTCTATTATAATTCCAATGTATTAAGTGCTGTGGGTTGTTGGCTTAAGTAATTCCATACAATAATATTAAGGAAAATCCCTTGCAGTTTTCATAGTTCAATATACACAAAAATGAATGGTACAATTTATATCAACTCTTTTGAAACTCATTGACTACAATGCCATACTGTTAGGGATCTATAACTAAACACAGCACAGGAATTAAGAATTGGAAAGATGTATACTATAACAATTGAGTTTCATATCAACCTATATTACAAGAGGAATTATTATCATGGGGATTACTCCAAGTAATCAGTTGAACCATGAAATCCAGGGATTTACTAAGCATGTACAGTAGGCTTAATTAAAAGCAACATGCAAAATATTGGATAAGCAGCAGCAAAATATTAAATTACAATGGAATGTGGACAAAGAGAATGATGAATGATGAATGATGGCAGCCAACCAAGGGCTGGAAAATGATGAGGCAGACCAAAAGCGAGGTAGTGATGATACTGTATCATATTCTTAAGCTCGGTAGTAAAAAAAAAAGAAGAAAAAAATAAAGAAAAAGAAATAATTGATCACCAAAACGCCTCAGAGGTTATTTTCGGGAGTCGAGAAAACAAAAACATAGCGGTCCCCACATTCGCACCCCCACCCTCTATTCACTCCCCAATAATTATCAAAATTAATTTTCTATTCATACACAATACTATTGTATTCCTACACAATTCAATTTACTATGTAAATTTGCTTATTATTGATCTATATAAATAGCAAAGGGATTAAAAAACACACTATTTACTATTTTCAGCAGGTACTGTGATAGTATTATGCTTTTAATGTATTTGACAACACTAGTGTAAAGTATGCACTTGATATCAATATGTCATTTAGTCAAAATGGAACACCACAATGGGAAAAAAATAATGTTTATGCACTACAGTACCACTGCCTGTGTTTCTTGCTACCTATACTTCCTGACGTGTTGCATCAATGGGCACAAATAAAGGAGTGTCCCTACAATATAAAAAAGCTCTGCATGTCTGCCCAAAAGAATACCTAAGCACACAATGATTTCAATAGATGCCTTTATGCGAGGTTCCCTAAAACAACATGGTCTAGTTCTGTCCAAATAACTTGATCCTTCACTTGTAATCGGTGCTTTTTAATGTGTACCGCATCAACACTTGAAATCACAAATAATGAAGGGCTTCAGTTTATTGGTATGCAAGATAGCTCATATAATTTGCCGTTAATTAAGATACCGTGCTGAATTTGTGCTGTAGGACATACAATTAGAACCACTTGACTTAACAGGTTGACCATGAACCTCAGCTAATAGGTAACATAGGTAGGATACTAGCTAGAGTTTCTATCTTCTAATGAAAAAATATCAATAGCTTAGGGAAGTAAAATACATGACAAATGTGCAAAAAATGGAATAAAGGACTGAATAGTAAATAATACTTATTCAAGATTTACCACCTAATGTTGACAGCCTTGAAACACTTTGCAACAACAACAAAATAAATAAATACTGTAAAAAGTAAAAAGGGCAAATTTGCAGATTCAGCATTGTTACTGCCATCAAAGAAAGAATTGCTGTAGAATGGGAAATACTTTTCACCAGGCTTTGCAAGACTGACATCCCACTACAAACAATGTACTTACTCTCTCTCAGTATATTTCAGGACAATACAATTACCATGCCCACGGATTGACATAACATCTCATTAGCAACAACAGGATGAGCAAAAAAATGCAGTAGATAGAAAATAACATGGAATAACATCATTGAAACACATCATGTTAATGCCTATTGCATATATTATTTAATTATACAAATCAAACAGGTTGTGTATCAAATAGTAACACAAACCATATCAAACCATATGTGGCAAAGACAAGCCATACCAATCACACGTTGCAAAAATCAATTTTGAGTTATTAATACAGTGTTAGAGAGGAAAATAATAGCTATAAAATGGTAAAAAAATCATTCAAATCGAACATTTCCTTATGAAGTTACAAGCGTTGAAACATACAGCTGTTTAAAGAACAGTATATGAGAAATCAGCCTTCAAAGTTCATGATTTCAGGCATTTCTCATGCAGAAACTATCAACAAATCCTTAAAAAGTGTTGTTTTAACATTGAAATTGGGGAAAATAACAGCATAGAATGATGTATAGATATGTAAAGATTAGTTTAGTGCAATAAAATAGATTTTTTTAAATTTGACATTCCAGCATGTTTTGGCCATTTTCTCTGAAACACGATTTGCGACGAGTGACTGGCTTGGCTTGTCTTTGACACATATGCCACATGGTGAACTACTATTATCACGGCGAGTTGGATGGCCGAGCGGTTAAGGCAGGGGCACTGCAATGTACAGCTATCATATCGGTACTGGTTCGAACGGCACACTATGGTTCTGGTGGTGGAACAAGTCTTCTCGGAGAAGGACTATAAACCGTAGGCCCATTGCACATAATTTGGCTCATGTGCACTTTAAAGAACCCAGTACATCTTTCAAGAATAGGGGGTACCCTGGTGTACTTGTCCATTCAGCCCGTGCTGTGGACAGACGAGAGTAGCTGGTACCAATTAACCGGGTACCTCAGACATGAAGAGACCCTAAGGGGAGAAGAAAGTTACTGTACGAGCTAGTCCACACCCCGAAATACATTACATTATATTTTACATTATGATTATCATACCTATAACCATTCCATAACAAATAAAATGAATAAATTTAATTAGGTTAACAAAGCTGTTTGGTATCATGTGCTTAAGCCAGGCACGCATAAAGAACACAACAGGACAAGGAGCGCACAATGGATTGTTATAATATTCTGCTCAGACTGCAACTGCCAATCAGAAGACTGTGTCACATCATCAAGCGCTCCAAGGGAGCAGAGACTGAACTCTTTCACTACGTAATTTCCTATTCCATATTTCCCATATCTGGACGGAATAAAATTTTGGGGAAAATAGGAGATATATAGAAAAAGCGTTCAAAAATATACAAAAGTATATATATTCTTTATCCTTGAGACCTTCTCTGTCTAATTATAAGAAAGTTGTCACTGTCACTGTCGTTGGTGCTAGTGTTATGCACACTTTCACTATCATCACTATCATGACTAGGCCTAGCTAGGCCTACACTATCATCATCGCTAATATCCATCATCTTGTGATTGCAGTATTTGAACAATCACTATCACTCTGGGTATCATCATCATTGACATCCCACTGTGCAAGTCTGCGAAGCACTTCTTCTGCAGTTAAATTACGTCTCCCAAGCGCAGCCATTGAAATGTTACTCAATACAACAATGCCTGCTTGAAGCCTGTTTCAGCCTTTATTCAGACGGAGAGCCGCCCTCAATGGCTCAAAATAAGGTCAAAGGTCATGCAGATTGTTGTTCAATATAATATATCCAAACGTCATGGGGATATCCCCAGGATATCCTCATTTGTTTACAGTGACGTCAACAAGCCGCTGTCAGCGGCTTTCCGCTCAAACTGCATATTTTATTTGCGCCGCTGTAAGCGGCTCGCCGTAGCAAAAGAGTTAAGTTGTCACACGTCGTCAGAGTATATAAAATTGCAAGAGGTCCAAATTTTGAGGTTTCGTTTAAACGCAATCCTTCAAAATGCGTTTGTATCGAACGTCTATAGGACGCATTCAAATTTTGAGTTCTATCTGAATTCTAATAGGGCGCCCCTATCCAATCGCTTAGGATACATTTTTTTCGCTTTAATGCGTGCATGCAAAATCAGGTAGTCTGAATTTTTGCAGTTCTATACTCTTTGACAACGTCCAAACCAATGTAGCGTGTGTCTGACTTTACACCAGTCCTAGCCTGCCTTACCTTTTGGGCATCACTGCGAAATGGCAATGCTCCCAGTATTACATTTTCTGTTATCCGATCGAACCATCTTCGTGATGACACTTTGCTCATTAACACATTGTAAAATAGCGTCGGGTAGAATACAGCTTTTGCAACTGGCATTCTGATTTAATTTATTTCAGTACTTCAGTAGTTTTTCAGTGTCTTCTTTAGCAACACATTTGTTGCTCACAAGGATAGTTGACAAATGTAGTAATGAATGAATGGCCTGCAAAAAACAGAATAATGAAAATTGGAATTAGACCTAAAAAGTTTTGAAAAAAAATACAGTAGGCCTAATTAAAAACATTATTTAGGAATAGGTGTATATTCTCATTTAAAAGGACAAACATTTCAAATCAATTCAGAATATTGCTTTTATTTTATAGCTTTTATATTTTATTGCTTTAATTTCAATTACTTCAACAGCTTAAAAATAACAATGCAATTTTGTGACTTCAAATACATTTTCTTTAAAAAAAACTATAAAATTAAACCACTTTTTA